GTCTTTAAAAAGTTTCAACCTCATCTACGAATTTGTTACAATTTCATACCTTCCGTTAGTTGTCTGTCAATTCCTCCATTAAAATGCTGATGTGGCAATTGACGGGACCCATTTTCTATTAAAAAAATATTTATATAAAATAATAAATAATAAATAATAATAATAATAATAAAACACCTCAGCCATCTTTTTCCCCGCTCCCACCCCCAACCCAAAAACCCAGCTCGCCCAAAACCAGAACACCCCCCCCACCCCCACCAGATCCCCAAAACCAAAAACAAATCCCAAATTCCCCCAATTTTCAAATTCAAATCCCTCTTCTCCCGGAATAAGAAATCCAGCCTTCACCCCCACGCACTCGCGATCCCCCTTCTTCCACTCGCACGCCCAGATCGCCGAACTCGACCAAGCCATCATGAGCAGCCTGGGGCAGCCCGCCTCAGCCTTCGGATCCGGTTCCTCTGGATCGCGCCGTCGAGTTTCGGCGCTCGCAGCCTTTGGCTCGCTTTCACGGCGCTCTCCCTTTCTCCCTTTGCCACACAATTTGGGATTTGTTTTTGGGGAAGAAAATGTGTGAGGAAGAAGAGAGAGAGAGAGAGAGAGAGAGAGAGAGAGAGAGAGAGAGAGGGGGGTTGCGGGGGAGGTGGGGGTGGGGTTATGGGTTTGGAAGGAAGGTTTTAGGGAGCGTGGGGGGTGGGGGGGGGGACGCGTCGAATGGGAAGAGGATGGGGATTTTTGCCGGGGTGGCCGGGGGGGGGGGGAGGGGTGTGGGGAAGGGGATCAGGTGTGGGTTTGGAATTTTTTGGTTTTTTTTATTTTAATATTTAATTATTTTTTTAATAAAAAATAGGTCCCGTCACTTGCCACATCAGCATTTTAACAGAGGAATTGACAGACAACTAACGGAAGGTATGAAATTGTAACAAATTCGTAGATGAGGTATGACATTGAAACTTTTTAAAGACGAGATATGAAACTGTTAATGATCCAATAGTTGAGATAGTTTTGTATCAAAAACATGAAGTGGCAGATAATCTATGGAGAATCTCACTTTGAAGGGTCCCCTTAGTACTCCTCTACATACACGCATATATTACTGATTATAGATTTGAATTAATAAACCACTCTTTGTCAATAAATAAAAAAAAAAAAAAAAACTTTTATACATTTTCATTCATAACTAAAAAAAAAAAAATTAAAAATTATGGCCATTATAGTAAATTCACACAAAAAATTTTGCTATATTTTTTGTGCCTCAACTACATGTCATCAAAACCTGATCTCTAATTTTTTTTTTTTTAAAAAAAGAAAAAAATATGTCCTCTCTCCCTCTCTCTTTCACATTTCTCTCCAACTTCTCTCTCTTCCATTTTTATTTTTATTTTTATTTTTTTGAAGTTTTATATTTACTCTTCATCTAGTTTGTCAACTAATTGAAAATATTACATATAATGCTTTAATTAATTAATGGCTTGCAAACTGTAATCAACTAGTCATCATGAAAGTTGATGAGCAAGTGGCACATGATATCTATCTGAGAATCTGCATGGTTAACAAAAGGACGAATATTCAGAGCAGAAGATCTAAGACGGTATCAAACCAGGATTCCACGATCGAAATTTCCATAAGCATTTTGGATTCTCGATATCTTTGACAAAGCTCCTTGTTGGGTTTTTCATAAGATTTCTGTCTGTTTGCTCAATTATTTACCGATCTCTTTCAAATGAGAAAAGAAAGGAAAAGATTTTCTGAACGTCGATCCATTTTTTAACATATGTGTCTGTCTTGAATTCGATTGTAAACCCTGGCCCACTCATTCGATTATGCTAACTAGCTAGCTAGGTAGCTAGGAAGTAGGAACCCTAGCTATAGACTATAGTACGTCGATCGTATATCTTGGTGGGAAATCCTAGCCGTACGTCTTTGTATGTACCGACTAGCTAGGTACATCAGTTGCTATAAAGAGTTAGTTCAGGTGTTTTTCACGTTAGTTTCATGCAACATGTTGCCTGCATGTATGCATGTTCATGGGGAGAATGATAAATTATATATCTTCATGTATAGAATGACATTCAAGTTTTGTATCAACTATAGCTCTGAACACATGCGTTTACATTGGTCGATCATGGAAAGATACTCTCTTTCTCCTTATTTTGCAATCGAGAGATTTTTCTATGTATTCAAAATCATTATCATGTTGTATTATTGTTTTACATAAATTATAGTTAATTTGTAAATGAAATATATTAACTATATCATGCTTATATTGTAGCATGTAAAATAGTAAACTTACAGGTGACAGATGTTTCGAGCACACAAAATTTACCCTCTCTTTGCTTTCTTCTCTCTAGACGCGCGTTCTCTCTCTCTCTCTCTCTCTCTCTCTCTCTCTCTCTCTCTTTGTGCATGTGAAGAAATTTTTCATTGTGACGGAAATATGAATGGTACACCATGTGTTTTTATAGAAGTAGAAAATTTTATTTTTTAAGTTATTAACTTTTTAACACATATATTCCATTATTTGTATAATAATATGTGGTGTATTACTCTATGTATCAATCACACTGAAAAATCTCTCGTGTATATGCATGATTTCTCTTCCTCAAATGCACCAATAACGTGTGGACAAAGATCTTAGGAGCTAGCCCGCTGCAGAGATGCATGAAGGAAAATAGTCAAAAGCATGCAAGTAAAGCGATACATTGAGATCTTGAGAGATATAAAACTGCTCTTTCTTGTCAGGCAGATAGATCACAGAGAGACACTTGACAAATGGAGGTTCTTCTTTGGAGTGATGGAAACCAAAGAACTAGATTATTATTATTATTTTCTTTTTCTTTTTTTTTTTCTTTTTTTTGAAAAAGAACTAGATATTTTTGTAAAAGGATCCGGCAAAGAACTAGATATTTTTGGAAAAAGGATCATTGCCTGATCTTTTTTCTGGAGATCCTATGGATCCCGTGATCGTTACCATTCATCATACATCGTACTGTCAGAAATCATTTTAAATTAAATATAAATAGTACCTCATGAAAACTGACCGCACGATGTACGATGAATGGTCACGATCACAAAATCCCTAGGAAAATAATCCAACAATGATCATTTTCCGATATTTTTCACCTCTATCTGCCAACTTGATACACGTCGATCTTCCACAATCCCATCCTTTAATTTAAATCAGATTCTTTGATTTTTGTTTTAAGAATGTGGGATATTATTTATACATACAGAAATAATACACTCTCTAGTACCTATAAGATTCAAAAATGAAGAGCAACTTTCACGCATGGCAATGTTCGTTTCACAAAATATCAAGAGTAATTGATTATGTTGATTATTTTCGTTAGGTTTTCACGCTTCGTTTGACCACTTTGACTATTCACATTAGTCGTGCTGACAACTTCACTATGAAATAAATTCCAACTAGGGTGATTACTTCATAAAAGACATGGTACATCAATCGTGCACACATAAGCTTACGAAAAACTTTAAGAAAAGATAGACATACACAAGACATCACTTATGCAAACATAACATGGGTAATACTTCCACCTGCATCATTTACAAACAAATACACGAACATGAGCTTCAAACCATAAGAAAAATCCTCCAATGAGACCTAAACAAAAGAAGCCTAGGTAGAAAATGACATGCTGACGCTGCCGTGAAACCAGAGGAGACCATCCCCTACGTACATTGCTTTACATAAAATTAAGCCTTTCACTAGTGTAATATTACGCGTGAAATTATAGTTGTCGTAGCAATTTTGTCCCAATTTTTAAGTTTTGAATGATGAAATTATTGAAAATTTTGGCCAACAAGTTCAATCAAGGTAAACCTAAAGAGGAACATCAAAGGTTTGAAGTGAAGGCAGAGACACCACCCCAAAGACAAAATCATAGTGCTTTTGCTCCATTGTTCTCCCTCACTCAATTACCTAGGAAATAGGATAATTTAGGATTCGCATATGTCCACTACTGGAAAAGGAACTACAAGATTCGCATATGCCCGTCCATCCAGTCGGAGGACGCCCTACTTGAGCAAACAAAATTTTTGGCCGAAACTGCACCATTACTACTTAGAGATTTGAGATAATTTGGGACACGTCACGTGCAATACCTAATGTCCATACTTTGTGTACCAAGGCAAATGGGGGTTTAGGTATGTGTGGGTTGGTCTAGTTGGTTAGGTTTTGCTTTTTTGCAGTCGAGTTTGAACATTACTTCACGCACAACAATATTCAAGTTTTATCCCACTAAGTGAGGTCAACTATATAAATTCTCAAACCACAGTGCTTGTTTTGCCCCAAGCTTTAAAAATCAAGGTAAAAAATAAATTGTTAATACTTTGTTAATCATATTGATCTTGACCATTTGTTTCATGGAAATTTATGTACTAACTTGATTTTGACGAGAGATTTTCAATGTGTTTGGAACATGGAACGGTCCATCATATGTCATTATACAAACGGTGGGAATTTATTTTTTTGTTTTCAAGTGTCCATCCATTTGTATAATAACATGTGAATTAACTGCCTGTGTTTCGGGCACACCAAAAAATATTTCGATTTTGTATGTTGAAGTAAAAATATCGTTTACAAATCATACATCCCTAAAAAACTGAGATTCATATCTTTAACCACCAACTTAGAAGGGTTGTTCTAAATATAAAGAGTTGGGACTTTTATTTTATTTTATTATAATGTACTCTTATTTACGAGGAAGGGGAGTCGAACTTGATATGTATTAAGTTCAAGAAGCCCAGTCTTGAGATCCTTTTGGGTTTCCGGGACAATCCATTCTTTTGGGTTACTTCGGACTTTAGAGAAGCCCAATCTTGAACAGCATAACCATCTCTCCTAACTGGGAATGTAAAACCAAACTTGCATTCGAATTGATGCCCGAGGAAGAAAAGCATTCGTCCCCGCGAAAGCAGACTCGTGGTTGTAATTACGTGTAATTCTCCGCATCGGAGTGAAAAATGGGATTAAAAAATACTTGAGATCAAAATTGACTGTTAATAAACTCGAAGTTGCATGACTGCTTAAATTACAAGCATTTCTGGTATGAACTATAAGGTTATAGATTTCTATATGTTAACGGAAGTCAGCCCTCTCGGGGATAAAAGTAATAATTGCTAATATTTCTGTACATGGTGCTGTTTCGAGAATGTCCCTGTTGAACTAGTCCCGGATTTTCTGAGAAAGGTATGATGGAAAACTAACCAGCAATGATATTGTCGTAGGTTGCAACAGGAATCGACTGATGGACAAATCCTGGAGCCTAACCAGAAGCGTTTCTCCTTGCTGCATAGACACGATAAGCTGCCAGTCCGACAACAGCAGCAGCCGCCCCAACTGTAATTTGATACAGCACATCTATAGTAAAGAATATTCACATAAGGTGTTGCATATACAAGCCAGAGAGAGTAAGCAAGAGAGAGGTGCAACGTACCTGAAACACACATAAGAGATCGATTAACAACTTGGAGATACTTCTTGCGGTTCCTCATAGCCTCAGTTTCAGGAATGCTCAAGTGAGGGTGCTCAGCTGCATTTACGATTTTATAAAACACATCATTCATAGTGCTCAACTTCATGCTCACACGAACAGGTGCCCCAATGCCCAATTCGTGACTTATCTGAAACAACAGAGTCGAAAATCATATATCAGCTTCATTCTTCCTCTATTAAATAATAGGCAACAAAAACCCTAGTTCATGGTGCAGTTGATAATGCATTTCCCGCACATATGAAAATATGTGAAGTCAAAACAATTAAGACTTGTGTACCACGAGTGAATCTCGCACTGCCATTGGATATGCACCGAGATCATCCTTTGCAGCAATAAGGAGGCAGGGTACTCCATAGCCACTTTCTTCTCCTTGCTTAGCAACATCCACAAGGAGTTCTCTTGATCTCTTCCATGAATGTTCGCTCGAACTAGAAAGTAAAAAACAGTGTCACAACATACTATCAGAGACACATAAAACCAATAGAATTGCATGCTACATATAAAGATATACAAAATGAATGAATTATTTGTATGAATCTTATCATGGAAATGTGTAAATTTTTATGTGGATCTTTTCGATCAACTTTTCAGCGATCTTCCCCCATATGTTTGGGGTATACATATGAACCAACATTTGTCCACAAAAAATGTAATTTGCAAACTTTGAACCAACCGAAACAAACAAAACCACCAAACCTTACATGAAATGGTTAATTTGGTTCAAACAAAAACCTCAATCAGTTTTGACTTTGGGTCAAGCCCAGTGTGAAGCAAACCAAACCAAGTTAGTACCCCTATATAAAGAATCCCTTGAATGTTAAATTATATACATTTATAAGCATACCATGCGAAATTATTTTAAATCCTATTACCATGCCAGTAATATAGATTGGTAAACAACTATAAGAAGTAACGATCTTACGAAAGGAAAGCATAACGTACATTACCATTACACTACATCTTGTGCAAAAGTGAGATAATAAATTCGATCGTTTTATTGAACAAAAGAAAACTGAATTACCTGTCATGGACAAATACAGCAACATCACAGGGTGTCAAAAAGGTCTTATCAGACAAATATGTTTTCACTTTGTCTTCTGGTATCTCTCTCAGTACAAGAGTCTTACACCCCTATAGCACAAGTCAAGAAATCAAATCATGGATAAATTTAGATCCATGATACTAAACTTCGTATGGTTGTCTGTTCATTTATTTTATTTGCCACACTTCCATTTAAACCAGGACTTCATTAAACTTGCTGTATTATCACAAAAACTATCTCAATGCAAAAAGTGTTATATATGATAGTACTCACCCCAATCTGGTTAACGACATTCACTGCATAACGCTCACCAGTAGGTATAGTCTCACTCTTTGAGAAAGGCCTGAGGTCAAAATTGGCAACAACAAATTAACAAAGCCAAATGAAAGAATAATCTAGTCACCACAAATATTTTCTAAAATGGAAGATAGAGCAGAGTCAAACAGGAAAGGGATAGCAGACACGGTGAGCTTTGTCTCAGTTTGAAAAGAAAAAAGAAGAGAAATTTGGGTAGTTTCAGGAGCAAAATAGTTCATTTGTGTAGAAGTATAACAGCATCTGAGAGCTAGGAAGTTATCACCCAATAAATTTTGTTATACCAAAGACTAAGAAAATGGGATTAGGTATGGAGGTACCCTTTCTCTTCGCATTTATAATATACGGAACTAATTAACTATGTTGAGTACAGTGAAGGGGGAAAGCCATACCTTCCTATGAATGAATTTAAAAGAGCGGATTTTCCTGCATTTTTAGGACCAAAAACGAAGCAGTTGAAAACATTTCTTTCCGTTTTTTGCTTTTTACGATCTACTGATCTTCTCCTAGTAACATGGATCGCTGAAGCAGGACTGCCATTGTATCCAACACATATCAAATTCGCCAAACTTTGCTTTGGATTTAACAGTGTCATGAGGGCCCACTGGAATCACAAAAAACAAAGATATAGTTACAATTTACAATTGGCTTAAGGAGATTCTTTAAACAAAGAAAAAAGGGAAACATGTATATCATCCAAAATAAACGAAAAAAAAATTCATGAAGAGCATATGTGAGCTAATTTAAACAGGGTAGCAATGAAAAAGAAGATACCTCAGACAAAAATGCATTAAGAGGTAAATTCCCTGATGCCGTTCTCTCTGCAGCATCCTCATAAGGAGCTTCACTCCAAGGACTGAAATTTCAGTTAACAGCATATTAAAAATCTATTTTTTGGAGAATAAATAGAAACCATGATAGGAACATACATTATTTTATCCACAAATAACAAAAGGGTAAAAGGAAAAAAGGTAGAAAAATATGGAGATAAATCAGGATTTCATGCAAGCTTCAGTTACTTCAGGACTTCACGAATCCTAACAGCTGACCCCCCTTAGTGGGATAAGGCTTTGTTGTTGCTGGATGAAACTAACAACGCATAGCTTGCAACACTATCACAATCAAAAGTATTGTATAAGAGAAAGACAGAAACTTTAACATTTGGAGTGTGACATCCTGGCCATCTCTTACCATTTGCAAACTGAAACTCGTCACGAGAGAAATTAACCATGACTCCATATATTCAGGATCTTATTCTTATCCCAACACTCAAACATTTGGTTGTCATGTGAGGAACAGAAAATTTACCGCCCATTAAACAGAAAGTATAAACTCAAGCACACATCTATCAATTAACTTCCAATTATTACAGGAAACAGAGATGTACCCTTCTCAGCTGGCACAAGCAGCATAATATGCTGGTACCAAATAGAGTGGTTTCATTGAAAAAAAAAAATAAGGGAACAACTAGGTATGCAATCCAACAGAATGCAAAATATGTACATTGCAGTAAACTAAGGAACATATCCGAGCTGAACTCACTTTTCTGGAGCAGTAGAAAACAGGTTATCAAGCTCACGTGGTTGAAGGGCTCCATCCTAGTTGACAAGGTACATTTGGAAATAAAATTACAGCATACTCATTAGCACAGTTACCATAGACAAAGCATAAATCACATTGCAAAGGCATACAAGTATGGTGAGAATGGATAATAGGCATACATTATCATGATCATTTATACGAAAGATCCCCTTCAGGTGCTCAACAGCCTCATTCGTCAGCTCCATGCTCTGAAATATGACATTAAGAGTAAGTATTTCACATCCACCATTAAAAACAAAGTATTAAGAAACGGTACAAAACAAACACACTGGCAGAGACCGATACAACTGTCTATGACAAAACTTGCCCCAATACCTTCTAATTAACAAAACAGTGTAGCCAACACTAAAACCTTAAAATGATACGACTGAGCTATACCTGATCTGGAGAACGCTTGGATGGAAGTACGAGAATGTCTTCCCTGAGTTTTAGATCATCATCATATCCAAATTGTCTGAGGACAGACCAAGTTGTTTCAATATGTTCTCTCTCAATGAAAAGAGTATGAAGATAATAGAACCCCTTGGGGGTAAGACCAATATCATTGACACCTTCTGGTTTCCTCTCATGTACAACCCTTTTAACTCGCACAAGTTCCTCGGGCTGTAGCGGAGCATTAAAACACTTAACCTGTTTGTGGCAGTTACATAACGTCAAACTTCCAAATAAGTGACTGAAAAATGACCACAAAGCACACGACATAAAGGAAAGAAAAAAAAACCTGGAAATCATTCAGCTCCTCATCATTAAGGGCACCGTCCATGTCACGATCACAAAGAGTAAAAATCCGTTTCAAAGCTCTAATACATCGGGGTTGCAGACCTTGCGTTTCTTGATCAAACAACGGAGTTGTTGGATGAAGGACTGCCTTTGAAGCATAATAAAACACTTCAGGAACCTATACACATGTAAATTAAAATTGTTCAAACTTCAAGCTCCCTCGCCTTTATACAACGGTACAGAACAAAAAGCGTTTTGACATTTAAACAAACCTGAACTTGAGCGGATGCGGAACACTCAATGCAAGTCTGAATTTCTCTAAATTGATGCATGATTGGTGACATCACCTGCTCCATGCTCATCTGCTCCTGCGGATTTCGCAAATCTAACTTGCATCCAACCAGAATTACCGGCACCTTCACCTAATATTTTGTTCCACATTCCCATATTATTGATCGATTAATCAAAAATTAACAACTAAAACAATTTCATAGCACTAAACCACTTGAATAGTTGGATTACAAACCTCCAAGTGGCGAAGCTCGAGCAGCCAGTAAGTAGTGAGACGAGTGAGCGTCATCGGCTGATCGCAGGCGTACGTTAGCACCACCACATCCGCTCGCTTCAGTTCTTCGTTCCTCTTACTGCAATTCTCCAAGCTAAACACAAATACCAAGCAAATTCACATCAAAAATTTTGCTTTCTATTTTTTTGAAAAAAAATAAATCGCAGTTTCAGTTTTTCCCTAATTTGCAGTGTGTATATGCATATATATATATATATATATATCTGTGTATGTATAGCTGACCTGGAAGAGGTGTCGATGATGGTGAGTGGAACGAAATCTGGAAACATATCGGCGGCGAGGCGCGTTGGGGGAAGCACGGGAGGGACGTTGGGGTCGAACGCGTCGGTGGCCACGGCGGTAATCAAGGTCGACTTGCCGGTGCCGCGGTCGCCAGCGACGACGACTCGGACGCCGGTGCGTTGACCGGTGTACATAAGTGCTGACATGGCCAACGGGATGAGAGTTTTTTTTTTTTAATTTTTTTTTTTTTTTATGGTTGAAAGAATGAGAGAGTCGCGCGGTTTTTATATGTTGACAGTTGAACGAAGACGCGAGAACGACGACAGTTTGTAAGCTGTCGTTTTGATTGCTGGAGCTTTCAATTTTGCTTGGGGAGAAAGATGTGATTTGTAGATCTTAACCTAACTACTGGTTTACTAGAAGCGGAATTCGGGCGTGTTTTTATCAATTAAACAAGTTGAATGAACTAATTTTTGTTACACTCTTACACAGAAGTATCAACTATCTGATTTAGTTGGTGACGAATTCGAATCTTAATTATAATTAATATGAGTTTTATTTTATATCAGACTATTTCATTCTTCTGGTTACGTTTTTTTTATGAAAACCTACTTATAGCCAACTGAATTCACATGTGAAAGTATAAGAACTACGAGCACAAACACATTATGTTTCGCAACCGAAACAAGTTTGACCTAAATTTTTTTGTTTCTAATTTGACTAATCTGCTGTACATCAATATTCATCAACATAACGTGACTCAATATCATTGATTGGCATGATATCGGTAGCTTTTGCGTTAGACTCGAATTTACTAAATATCCATACATTTGAAAAAAAAGGCTGGGCTGGATTGAGGGGATTTTCAGATTTCAGTTTACACAAAACAGAGGCCCAATGATCTCGTACCAAAAGGCCTATACAAACCAAATAGATTGCTCGTACCAAAAGCCCGCGTCGTGAGTCGAGAGTCTTGAGACTGAGACAGAGAGATTAGTAGAGGCAGCTGAGACTAGCGCGGTTCAGTAGCGAAGATGTTAATTCGAACCCTGCGGAGCTCCATCGCCGCCGTCCGATACTTCTCGGCGGAAGCGCATGCGGAGACGAAGGCGGCAGCCTTCACCGCAGCGAAAAGCTCGAGCAGCGTCCGAGACACTCTGGGAAGGAGACTCCTGAGCCTGGTGTTCCCAAAACGCAGCGCTGTGATTACCATACGGAAATGGAAAGAAGAAGGGCACACGGTGCGCAAGTACGAGCTCAATCGCATCGTTCGTGAGCTTCGCAAGCTCAAGCGGTACAAGCATGCCCTCGAGGTTGGTTTCTTTGACAAAAACGGTTGCGTTTTGTGCTCTGTATTTCCTAAAGTTTTGATCTTTTTGCTGTTGATTGGTTTTGCTTGGTTATGGAAAATGAGCAAAGCTTTAGAATTTATTGGTTTTGTGGGATTTCTGTGCATGTTTGAAGGTTCTTAAATATACTGAGGTTACAGGTTTTTTACAGGCAGTGGCAGGGTTGATGTAGTTGGTGAAATTTTTGTTAATTTTGTGGATGATTTTTAATTTACTAAGTTCCATTTGAAGGTGGGAAGTAATTGGATTGTGTTGAAGTTGGATGGTGAAGTGTAAATTAGGGTGCTTTTGGTGTGGTTGATGTGATGGTCTTTCGGATGCTGTTTTCGAAATTGTCCAGCTTAGTGTTTTTGTTTAGGCATTATGCATAGGCCAAGTATTGAGGAATTATACATGACTACCCGAATAGGGTTTAGGGTTTAGGAATTATGCATAGACAAGTATTTAGGAATTTTTTACGGTCCCGGTGCGCAAACTTTCAAGGATGCCTGCCATGGGGTAAATGAATGTGTGTGTGGAGTGATGGGAAAGTTTGTTTGAGAAAACCTACGTGGTAATGTGGCTAATGGGTAGTGAAATAGAATCTGAAAGGGCTACTGTCTTCTATTCTCGTTCATGGGACTGATATAAATTTCAGCCAACTCTTGTGAACATGATCTATAAGGTTGTAAAAAGAATGGTTGTGGAAGTACATATGTATTCTTTCGTAGTCGCAACTTGGTAAACATTTGGTGTGGTAACTGTGGGCCTTTGACTGCCTTTCTACCTTCCATTTCTCGTTTTATTTTTTTTATTTTTTTTTATATCTAGTCTTCTGGAGTTTGGCTGCTTTAATTACCAGGATACCGAATAGTTTGATCTTTGATGACTTATTGAGCTTTTCAGGAAGTTGTTTCCTTTTCATCTGGCCTGCTGTACTAATATATAACATTGTTTATGCAGGTATGTGAATGGATGACACTACAACAAGATTTGAAGCTAGTATCAGGTGATTACGCCGTTCACTTAGACTTGATTGCAAAAGTTCGGGGCATGAATAGTGCAGAAAAGTTTTTCGAGGATCTTCCTCTTCAAATGACAGACCGTGCCACCTGTACAGCTCTGCTGCATACCTATGTCCAGAATAAAGTGACTGATAAAGCGGAAGCTCTGATAGCTAAGATGTCAGAGTGTGGTTTCATGAAGCATCCCCTTGCTTATAACCACATGTTATCTCTGTACATTTCCAATGGGCAATTAGACAGGGTTCCAGAACTAATTCAAGAGTTGAAGAGTAATACGTCACCAGATGTTGTTACTTACAATCTATGGTTAACCGTGTGTGCATCACAAAATGATGTTGAAACTGCAGAAAGAGTTTTCCTTGAACTAAAGAAGGCAAAGATAAATCCTGACTGGGTCACATGTAGCACGTTAACCAACTTGTATATAAAAAATTCACTGACCGAAAAAGCAGCGGTTACCTTGAAGGAGATGGAGAACTTGGTATCTCAGAAAAATCGAGTCGCATATTCATCCCTGCTCAGCCTGCATACAAACATTGGCGATAAGGAAGGTGTTCAGCGAATCTGGAAAAAAGTAAAATCAGTGTTCCCCAAAATGAATGATGCTGAGTATACATGTATGCTGTCTTCGCTTGTGAAACTCAAGCAGTTTGAAGAAGCTGAGAAACTCTATACTGAATGGGAGTCTGCTTCGGGTACTCATGATCCTAGGGTGTCAAATATACTTCTTGCAGCGTACATCAACGAAGACCAAATGAGAAGGGCTGAAACCTTTCATAATCGGATGGTGCAAAATGGCATAAAGCCATGTTACAGTACTTGGGAGCTTCTTACATGGGGTTATTTGAAACAAAAACATACGGAAAAAGTGCTAGAGTATTTCAAGAAAGCTGTTGGTAGTGTGAAGAGATGGGATCCTGACAAACGGTTGATTGGGGAAGTATTTAACAGGCTCAAGGAGGAAGGCGATATTCAAGGGGCTGAGGAACTGTTGGTTTTTCTTCGGAATGCTGGTCATGTGACCACTGAGATATATAATTCTCTTTTAAGAATTTATGCAGAAGCTGGTAAAATGCCACTTATAATTGCAGAAAGGATGGAGAAGGACAATGTTCAGTTGGATGACGAGACTCGTAAGCTCATAAAGATCACTAGCAAAATGTGCGTGAGTGACATTTCTAGCATATGTTCTTGAATGTAAGTGCTTGACGAAACTTCCAGAAAACTAGTAGAAATTATTTCTTTTAGTTAAAGGTTTTGTAGCCATGATGGTAAACTCTTATGATTTTCAAGTTATATAGATTGCATTTGTTTTCATGATCATTCAAGCTGACTGCTTATTTTCGTTGGATTAACAAGCGGGCGATGTTTAGAATACAATCGAGAGATGTTTAGAATACAATTGAGAAAGAACACGTTTGTTGTTCTGAACTCAAATCTATGTATAGGTTCTAATTTTATGTTTTCGCTGAAAAGTTTTCGGGCAGAAAGTTGTGCAGTTCACCTAATGGAATTCAAACAGTATCTGGTTCAACAAGCAGTTTATTAGCAATTGGGTCAATGATGTTTTACAGAGTATATTGGATTGCCTCAGTGAAGCTCTAGGTCTTCCTTGACCCGCCAAACCCAACTGAACTGCCAGTTCTGTTGACCTAAAACTGGTTCCGAGTTATGAGCACTTTACAGTTCTAGATAACATTATCCCAATCTTTTTCATTATTTGTTTCTTGCACTTGCACTCAACTTTGTGCACCTTTGTGGCTTGGGGTTGACCTACTTTCTTATTTGGTTGGATTTTTATAGAGTTGATGATATTTCAACCAAAAAGATTATAAGAAAGGGTGCATTTTGCTCGCCGTCCTAAAATAGTGGCGAGCATCGTTAATACATTGATTGTCGTTAGATGACTGCGGTTCAGTCTATCTACTACACAAATTTTGACAGTAAAACTTATTTAATTGCAATTAACACAGTAATGATGATTACCACTTAAGAGTGGTGAACGACAATATTTCTATAACGGTGCATGATATTGATATGGCTATCTAACCCAAGGGGGTTAAGCCAAGAGTTTGATTCCGTATAATATAGGTCTAGGGTTCGTTTCTCTCCAAGCCGGAAAAATGGCTATATTCAATGTTAACATAAGATGATTATGTACAACTGAATCATTTGAGCTTATTTCTTATTGTATAAGTAGAAAGTTTTCACTTTAGGAAATTGAATTATAGATACCAATTAAAAACCCTTGAACTCAAAATCTTACGTTTTCTTTTCAAATACAATATTCTAAACTATTTTAGTCAATGAAGGGGGTGATTCTAACTGAGAACAAGAGAGCGGCCTATAAGATGTCCTGACCAACTAATCTAAAAATAAATATTTAAGTGCATGGTTTTGCCATCCTAAACTTACATCAGACACTTTATTTGTACCTTGATGTGTTTTCAAAGTGACATATACCAAAGCTTGGTTCCCAGTAATTATCATGGAGCAATAAGATGATCTATGCAAAACCTAACTTTTAATACCTTGCTTATGTATCAAAACGTGGGACCCTCCTTTCCTAAACCATACTTAATGTGGTAGTGTAGGTAAGGTAGTTAAGAAGATTAGGGCACTTGCCCCATATGGCAGGAAGACTTTGCTTTTGACTGTTGTTTGTTTTAGTGGATGATTACAAGTTTCAAGGAAAATATATAAAATGTTTATATGTTTGTCTTTGTCCACGTCCACGTCCAGGTCTATTATACAGGATGAATTTACCGAAATGCCCCTTCATAATTAAACCAGCAGAACAATATTTTTGATATATTTGGCTACTTGTCAGACCAGTTTTCGTTGTACAAAATGACCTTTAGGCCCTTGCATTTCTAATTTTGGAGCGGTGATCTCAGTTATATTTGTTAGGGTCCATGGTTTAATGGATATTATAGTTGACCTTGATTGAAAATAAAATAAAATAAGGGAGGGTTGATCAACAACATAAGATCATGTCGAATTTGAATCTAAAAGAAGCATTCAGTCAACAACATAAGTTTAATACGCAAGTAAATCTAAATCCTATCGTTAAGATTCAGTTATGTAAAGATAATTAAACTCATAACTTTTCAAAATTCCAATCATGAGTGAATTGAGTTTGAGAAATTCTTTTAGTTTGATCGGAATACAGACACATGTTTTATATGTCATTATATGAGTTGAGGGACGCTTAAAAAGAAAATCCTCAATTTTTTTTTAATGACACATAGTGTACCGTCCGTATTCCAGGTACATTAAAAAATCTCTCGGCTCTGCTATGATCCGAAACAATCTTTTGGTGTGACTGTCACGAGGGATTACTATACTATATGTCCAGTCATATCATAACACATATTGTTAATATGTTTGTCCCATGATTACTATGAAGATCAACCTTAACCGCAAAAGGTATATGACCAAAAATGTTTATATGTTTGTCTTTGTACCATCATGCCTGAAATATATGATGTTTTCTTCTGCTATGTGTTGTGGTTGAAGAAATACAATAAAAGCACTAAATATGTTGATGTTTCTTGAAGAATTAGGATGACATTTTGACATTTCTACTGCGTAAACACCAAGAAATATATGGTATCTTGTGCAGAATGAAATAGTGCAAACTAGCAAAAGATGATGAGCCAGACATTAGATAACGTCTTACTGGTTAAGTGGTAGAGTGGTCGGCTGTTAACTGACTGATCATAAATTCGAATCCTACTTGGGAAGATTTGATTGATTCCGAATTCTTTAATTCGGAATGAAAGGGTTTGCTTTGAGAAAACCTAAAACTCCAAATCTACATGTACCCGAAATCCCCAATTTTTTTTTTTTTTTTTTTTTTTATACAAAACGATCTGAACCCACCCCTCCAAAAATAAAAATTTGAAATAGCAGATGAACTTGGGAAGACAAGAGTGAGTTTTCTGAACTCTTCGGCGATCCTGAACGAGGTTTTTTTCAAAGCGATGAAGAGGGCTTTTTTTTTTTAAAGTGTGGAGTGTGTGAAGGTTTTATGGGAAGTTAAAATGGCTTCATTAAGCCCCTTACTACTCCGATCCAGTGGTATACTTCTTTCCTTGTAAATGAGAGGTCTTATGTTGGATTCTCATCTAAGACAAGTTTGAACCACATTATTACTAGGCCAAGCCCACCCCCCTTCCCCGTAGATAATAAGGTTTGTTCATAAAAAAATGGCTTTATTAAGATATTTTTTTATTCAGAATATAAATGTGAGGAGTTTTTAGTATGTAGAGTATTCTCTAATTCTGTATTAAATAGTAAAGACGAGATGAGAGCAGGGAAAATTTTTAATTTAATTAAAAGCAATTTTCCCCACATGAAAGACTCCTATTTGGCTATGACATATGGTGATTTTCTCTCTCTAAAATTTGGTTCTGTTTCCTGCGAGAGGAAAGAGAGAGTGCGAGAGTATTTAGTTGCGTTGCAAGTCAGAAGTTGGCACCACAAGTATTTAGTTGCGTTACAGGTTAGAAGTTAACTCAATCGCAACTCTCAACGCTTTCTCCCTCTCTCTCTCTCTCTCTCTATTGTATTTCTGCGTCTGTATATTCCATGGCTGCTCATGAAGAAGGAGAGATTTGTTTTGAAGAAGGAATGTTGTGGCTGCCGTCACAAGTTTTGGATGAAGCAATATGTGACACAAAGGTTACTCTCTCTCTTCTCTCTCATATTTCTACTCTCTTTTTCGTTCGGTGAAATGATAGTGGTTTTATTCAACTATATCTCTTCTTGTTCTAAGTACAGAATTTGATATTTAATTTCTAGGTTTTTTATCCATCATTGTTCCGAATTTATTAAAATTTGATTTATCTTATAATTTGCAGGCAAATTCGAGGCTCCATGCAAAACACCATCACCACCACCACAATGATCATTTGGTGCGTACTCTTTCTGCCTTCACTTTCGTTTTCTTTTCTGTCCATCGATGGTGATTTTGTATGTTTTGACGTGTACGAATTGGTTTATTAGTTTTAGCATGGCAGTGTTTCTTTCATTCGCTCGTACGAGTATTTCTTCCTTACTGCAATCCACGGTTTTACATATACATGTAAATAGTTTAATAAAAACAGCAAAATAAAAGTTTCTGCACAAATGTCAAACGGTGATTGATAGAGAAAATTAAAATGGTTACTTTCGAGGATTGAGCGAAGTATTTTCTGCATTAGAATATCATGGGTTGATGGGATTTTTTTGCTTGAATTTTGGAGATTTTGTTTACTGGCCAGGTTCCGACATTCTTGACATGGTTTGGGGAATAGGAGATAGGATTTTCATAGATAAACTATTTCAGCCTCATCTAGCAACTATCGTGTAATTCACTAGTGCCAGAAATCAAACCCAAGATGAGGTGTGAACTACGGGCCTGAAATTCGTCTCCAACCACTGAGTCCTTTTGTGTTGGTTATATTAGTGTTTGTGTTTGATTGAATAACATGTAATTAACGATTACCTACTCACGAGACTACATAATATATTACTCAACTGTCACGTTTAGGTCTTGTACTGGTCCATCTAATCTTTCTAATTGTTAGTTAATTTTGTCAATCTTATTTTGCAACCAATTAACTTTAAAGCATAGTTTGATCTTAGAGAAAAAGAAATTTAGTTGGAAAATTTTAGCTGAAGGAGTGTTTTGGGAGAGTCATTAATTTAGAGTTGTGATCAAGGGTAGGTTTCTTCGAAACTTGTCAATGCATGGCTTAGGTATTAAGTAAAATATTTCAAAATTAGTGCATTGAAATTAAACAAATAAATTCTTTTGGTGTATTTTTTGGTACCGAAAAGTTTAGAGGAGGGGAGGCTACCTCATCCCAAAGGCAGGGTATAATACGATTCTCTTTGAGAACTTACGGATGAGTTTTAGCCAACTTTTTGGTTTTTACATATCACCCATCAAGAGAGATTGCCGGCAACGTGACTTGAACCTAGGCCTTAGTATAACGAAGAACGATCCTTACCAACTCAACCAACTTTGTTGACCTGTTGGTGTTTATTTTACTAATGAGAGGAGATTCGAAATTTCGATCTTGGACTTGAATGCAGTTGTACTATTGTATATTCGTATATATTTTGTTTGACTAAGACAATGTGTGAATTGCAGAATTCAATATCTAGCTCAATGAGACCACATCATAGACCAAAAGTCCATGTGAATTGGTCATCCGGAGGACCTGGAATGCAAGCCATTTTCCTGGATTCTAGCCAAAAATCATGTGGCACGGGCGTTTTTCTTCCACAACGAGCAGGCACCCACTTCCACAGAACCAAAAAACCAGGTATGTAGGTAACCCTAATTTCGGATTAGATTTTAATTTGGTCATTTTTCGGGTATATTATTCTTAGTTTTGGTTAAGATACGTACGTGAATAATCAGCGTAATCAAATGACCAAAATCAACTGGCGAAAATCGAAATGCCCTTGTTAATATTTGCCTTGCATGCAGCTTGTGCTCCAGTTCTGCTGCCCTCTCGTGTGGTTCAAGCTCTGAACCTCAACGTGCATGCACTAGGCCTGCAAGTTTCACCTCGACAAGGTTAGTTATATGATCTATACAAACAATATATAAAGTTGAGAGGCGGATCCGTTACATTACATTTTTTTACACACGCTTTTGTGGGACTCATTCCGTAACATATTTTAACAATCTGAACCGTCTGTATTTTAGAGCATCGTTCATAGATCATCCTTCCAAAAAATTAGACAAATCTAAAATCATTAAGACATTCGTTTGTGGTGAAGAAAATAAGGGAATACGGATCTATAAAGAAACACTAAACCCTTAATCCATTAGTCATATAGTTTCAGATTTGGGTATTTTTTGGTAGACATGATCTTTGAGAGAATATCTAAAAGACAAACTGTTTGGACCATTGAATACAATACGGAGTGGGTCTCACAAAAACGTATGTCAAAATTTGTTTAGAAAAAATAATACCACGGATCCCCCCTCATAGTTGATATATCATATTTTACTTAATTTGATTGAGGTATTTTTTGTTGATTTATCGTACGTTGCTAAGAAATTCGAAATTCTAATTTCAGATTTTAAAGATCACAAGCGAAAAAGTGAAGACTACTTGGCAACTCAAAACAAGAACGGGAATAAGGATGTTTCGTCTACCCAATACTACATTATTTCCCAAAATCCGAATTCTTCACCAGAATTGTTTCTTCCAAAGGAATGGACTTACTAATGACGAATACGAAGAACGATTATTACAAGTACACAAGAAACTATATCATCATAAAGGCTAAAGCTCTCTTGCTCTATGATTGACGTGTACGGCTAGCTCATGTAATGTAAGCTTAAATAAACAGCTAAAGGCTTCCATTTTATACCAGTGCTTTGATAAATTATAATTGTGTTATATGTGATGCTTGTGAACTTAAATTGATATTGCAAATTTACAAGCTATAATTTCACCACCAGACAAAGGTTGTAGTAATCCAACAATAACCAAAATTAAAAAAATAAAATGTTTAGTAGACTCTCAGACATGTACGCTGTTCCGATCAAACGAAAATTGTATTCATTATTCGGAAAGGATCCTCTTCGGATCCCTTCCTCATAATTTATCAAATCAGGAAATTCATGCTATTGAAATTTGATCCAATACCCACACATAGTAATGTAGTTTTCAAAGAGTGTAATTAATACGTTTGAAGTTGCTCTATAAATAGAACGCTCCGACTGCTATCAAAATACACAGAGAAAAAAGTATCTATTCTCCCTCTCTGATTTATCATCTCTTTGTATTATAATTACAGTGTGATATTGTATACCAACTTTGCTCTTGTCATTAATAAAAATTCTCTCTCTAACAAGTAATCAGATTTGTGCTTCGAAACATTTACCCAACCACGTCGCCGACCTAACATCGAACAATAGGGAATATCTAGTCAATACCGCAAAACGAGAGAGTAAAGCAGGGGATTATTCCCCTTCTTAAAGATGAGACTTTTCTCAGCTTAACCGAACCGAAAAGTCCCGCTGCTCTCTGTTGCTCTCTCGGTCCCGCCATGGAAGCCGCTCTTCTGAGCTCGCAACGCTTCCATCCCAAGCTTTCACCCGAAAAATCTCGAGGTCAGTATTTCCTGTTCGTTTCCTGAGAAAACGCAGGAAAGTTACAGAATTCATGGAAAATTCGGAGTATTGTTGGGTTTAGTAATCTCTTGGTAAACTTAATCCAGTAATTTCTAGCTGTGTATGCATCGAAAATGTTTTCGTGTTGAATTTCGATTGGGTGGAACTGTGAAAGTTTGTATCTTCGGGTGAAATTTGTGTGTTTTGATAGGGGTTTTCTGTTCATTTTCCTTGCAGGTGCAGTTTCAGGTAGTGAAATTCAAATTTGTTGTTTGCCCCTTGTTAGGAATAGCTATGTTTCACTTAGGACAAACCCTAGAAATTTCATGTTTCCAAACAGTCCCTTATTGTCCAGATTGAACAGAAGAGTCTCTGTTAAGTTCTCGAAACAGTTCGTGAATGATTATACAAATGTTGAGGCTACACCTCCAGAGTCTCTAAATGTTGAAGTTAATCCGTTGAGTGGGAGTGACAGGACGGAAATTTCAAAACAGAACGCGGTTGAGAATGCAAAGGCGGAGCAGGCGGGATCTATGACGTTTAGAAACCGGTTTCTGAATTTCGTGCGCCTGAGTTCAGTGGTTAATAATGCTGCTGAATCGTTCTTCAAGAGCGAGATTAGGAGAAGGCTGTTTGTGACAGCAGTGCTAATTGTGATTAGTCGTGTCGGTTATTTCATTCCTCTGCCTGGATTTGATAGAAGGTTGATCCCTCAAGATTACCTAAGCTTTGTATCGGGATCTGTTGGTGAGTAATGACCATTCTTCTTCCATGTGTATGGTTGTTTATGCAATTGTCTGATCGTCGTTCATGTTGTATTCTGCCAGATGAACTCGGTGATTTTGCAGCAGAGCTTAAAATGTCTTTCTGTCAGCTTGGAATCAGTCCTCAAATCATAGCGTCGATCATCATGCAGGTTAATTCTTTTCGTCAGCTAGTTTGGTTTATGTTCACCGAATAGACAACTTTGAAACCAACAAAACTACATGGATAAATGTTAAATGTGCTTAATCTTGTGAGGAAAGTTGGAATGTAATACAATAAAGTTATATATTGAAAAATCTCAATATCGATGTACAGGTGCTCTGTCATGTTGTTCCCTCCCTGGTAAAGCTGCGGAAGGAAGGCTTAGATGGTCATGAGAAGATTAAGAGTTATATGTGTGTCTAGTTTTTCATCTCAAGCAGTGAGCCAAGTTCTTGTTACACAATTTGATTGTGACTTTTACTTTGGACCAGTTTTGTCTCTCAAGATTTTGAACATGTTTCGTTTTTTTTTTTCTATTCAAGATGGTGGCTGTCTTTCGGCTTTGCAATAGTGGAAGCTATCATACTTGCTTGTTATTCACTTCCATATTCAATCTATGCAGCTAGCTACAGGTAATGGAGCATATCTATCGTTATTTTCAACAATGATTTTGATTTTGAGTATATCTTGGGTCTAGTCACAAGTTCTTATAGATGTAGTTACCTAGGTTCTCTTTTCCACCATGCACTTAGCAGTTAGCATGGTTCGTTTTCTTTTCTATTTAATAATAATTGCATGTCTCGTAAGTTTCTTGTTGTTTTAGTTGGTAAGTTATATTTGTGAGATCGAAGATGATATTTATCTGTTGGTAGGAGTATGATTATGTTTTGGAATTTTGCAGGGTCAAGCATGTGATGGTGACAAGTATGTTATTGGTCTGTGGAGCAATGACAATGACGTGGATTTGTGATACCATCTCAGAATCTGGATTTGGTACTATACTTGATATGTTGGTTACTTGGCTGGAGTTGTATCATTGTCCTAATATTCCCCCTAATTCTGTCATGATGCCTTTCTGGCCTCATTGTTTTTTTTTCAAAGAATGATTTTACTGTTCATTGTCACCAGTCACTATGGTTAACATTTTTCGGATGCTGGATTTAGGGAAAGTTTTTACATAGTTGAATTATATGAATACATGTGTGCGGTCTTATGATCATAGTATCATTCCAATAGAGTCACTTTTTACGGGTCCTTGTGGAATACTTGTTTTTCACTGATGGTGACTGTTAGTACATATGTGAGGTCTTAAGATAATAGTATCGTTCCAATAGGGTCGCTTTTTATTTCTTTAATATGTTCACAGTACTTTCAAACAACATTAAATGTTGCTTGTTCTTGCTGATCTCGCTATACCTCTCTAATATAAAAATTGTTTGTACATTCTATTATCTTATTGTGTATATGATTACAATCTCTATCTTCTCTGACTGGTAAGTGGTAATTCACATTTCAGGTCAAGGTTCATCTCTAATTATTTGTGTACAAATATTGATTGGCTACACAGAGACATTATACAAAATGCTGTCTCAGCTCTCAGGTATGTGATATAACAAAATCCATTAAATTACGTGTGTTGGGCGCAATTTTCCCATCAGATAACATATAATTCTGTAAATTTGCTTATCCTACTCTAGAACTCTGACAGATATCATTTAACTTCAAGTTTTAAAGTTTAGTGATTCATGTTTTATTTTATTAATTTCAGGAAGTTCTGTTAGTTGGGGCCCATATTTATTTGCAGTATTGGGCGTTTTCACTATAGTCACTATGTGGGCAGTTGTGGTGACTGAAGGGTGCAGGAAGATAAAGCTGCAGTACTATGGTTTTAAGCTTGCTTCTGCTGCAAGGTAATTCAAATATTACCATTTGGATTGGATGTGATAATTTTTAGAGAAAGACACTGAGTAGTGCATACTTCTCTCTACACATGGTGTGGTTGATTATAGATGGCCGTTCTTAGCTGTTATTGCTTATAAACTGATCTCATGATCGATTAACAGATTAGTAGAAGCCATCATACCATACTCTACCTTCTATAATTTGACATGTAAAAATTTGTGTACTTTATTTCTGCTGGCTGACACTATTTTCTGGTCTTTTGTGTTTTGGGCAGAGATGACTCACCTATTACCGAAGTGGAGCCCTATATCCCTTTTACCATTAACCCATCAGGAATGCAGCCTGTTCTCACCACTACTTATCTCTTGGCATTTCCCAGCATTCTTGCAAGGTTAAAAATTCTTATTTGGCAGCATCATTTCCTATCCGGCCCCGAAAGCTTTCCTTGAATATTCTATTTACACTTTGGTCCTTTCTGTTTTAAAGTTGAACTTTACAACTTTCTAATAATGTGGTTTGTTGGCAGTATTCTTGGTTCACCTTTCTGGGAGCATGTTAAGGAGATATTGAACCCCGAAAATACTATTGGTGCAGGGCCTTGGGTGTACTACTCAATATATGCGTTTTTTGTGTTCTTATTCAATATATTTGACATTGTAAGTTTATTCTTAACATTATATATATATATATATATATATATATATATATATAATCATTCTAGAAGCACCTTGCTTTCTGCTCGTTCTTCAATCTGCAGGTTACAATACAGTAAAAGAGTACTTTAAACCCCAACTAGTAGTGATATAGTTGTCTTGATGTTTCTATACTTCTGCATAAAATTTCTTGTGCTTACATGTCCGAATATGAAAATAGTGTCTGGTCATCAGTAGTTTCTTAATGCTAACGCCGTCTCTTATGGCTTCGGAATTTAGAATTCTTGGTTAAAAAATCCATGGTAAATAGTATATTTGAACATTTACATGTTCATAGAAATATACTAAGTTATATCAGAGTCACCAACACCACCATGTAAATGCTCTAACTTAATCTCATCTGTTGAAAAGTTTGCTCATTTTGTTAATAAAAAATGCTTGTCCAGGCCAACTTGCCCAAGGAAATTGCTGATTACTTGAATAAGATGGGTGCCAGGATACCAAACATAAAACCTGGGAAGGCTACAATTGAGTACCTTACAAAGATTCAGGCATCGACACGTTTCTGGGGTATAATTCTCTTTCATTGTGTCTACCTGTTGCTTAATACTTAGTTCCTTTGTCGTTGGTCCCCATTGAATTCTTTTTGCTTGCTTTTTTTTTTTTTTTCTGTGGTGGAAATTCCGCAGGGGGGCTATTGTTAAGTATCTTGGCAACAACATCAAGCATAATCGACCATTATTTACGCAATATCAATGCGGGATTTGCAATCGGGTTGACATCAGTCCTAATAATAGTAAGTACAGTACCAAGTATAATTTATGAAATGCTGAGTATGCCACTAAATCCACTGCCATAGAATGCTTTTGTTTGTTTTTGCGCGTGTTACCTTTCTTTTGATCATTAACTCAAGGTAGCTGTAAAAAAGTTCTGGCGTTTGAATGAATATTTAGAGGACGTTAAGTATCTAGGGTTCTTATTTGTTTACCATACACGTACAGATTCTGACCTGGCTTTACTTTTCTCAGCTTTGCTTTACCCAAATAGACCATAAACCGACCGTTTATTTGATTAATAATTTTTTCTTGCATAAACTTGATGGTCTATGTTTTCATGCTTGCCTTCCTATGGAAAAAAAATTACCTGATGTACTAAATTCTACCGGGTTGAATGGTTTGCGCTACTTCTTTATACTTTACGCAACTCTTGCAAGTAGTTCTGACTATTGATTGTGCAGGTGGGTTCTATTATTGAACTTAGAAGATCATATCAGGCATATAATGTAATGCCAAGTTTAAGTAAAGCCTTAAGCCGGTATGGTGCATAACTCCCAAATAGGCTGTGCCTTCTCGTCTTCAGGTGATGGTGCTCCTTCGCTCAAAAACCGATAAAAGAACTTCTGCGGAGAAGGTGACGCTAACGACAACTTTTTCTCTCCCTTCATTTTTTGCAGCATTGGAATTCTTAGACTGATGAAACACCTCCAGCAGAAACCAGAAACGATTATGGCATCGCAATATGCTGTAAAGGGTACGAAGTCTCGTGGCTTAGAGTAGTATGTGATGCTTCATTCATTGTCTACGAAGCGAAGACTCATTGCCGGCATGGTTTCCGTATCAAATGGAAAAGCATCGATGGCGGGGTTTTGTTCAGTGCACTGTAAACCAACCACGGTTTGTATCGACGATATAAGACACCCTATGTTTTGTATATATAGACACCCATCTATTATCTATATTAAGACGTTTAAGACTGAATCTTCGCGGGTGGTGCATTTCCGTTTGGGTACAGCCAGTTTTTGAAATTTCTTTGATACGAAATATCGGAAAAATCAGAGAAAGATATGAAAAGGGGGTGAAGTTCAAACTTCATTTCATATCGGAGAAACTCTTAAATTTCAGTCAAAATCGACAAAATTTGTCGATATTTTTGACATATCAATTAAATATCAGAGAAACTTTTACATTTCGTCTAAACCAGTTTTCAACATTTCCTGAAGTTTCATTTTAAATTTTCATCATTTCTCTCGAAAGCAACCGATATCAATATATCTATTGATTTTTTTTCACAAATTTGCATATTGATATTTCTATCAATACCTATATATTGAACATTGGTACAGCTCTGCCTCCATTAGCAGCTCCAAAGCTCAGAGAAAGAGAGAACTTGTGTGTAAGAGAGGTATTTATCCAGGAAGATCCTTGTCGGATCCTTTTGGTGAGGATCATAATGATCCTCCAATCACATGTATTCATCGTACATCATACGGTTAGAAATCATTGTAAATTTTTTTATTTAAAATTGAATATAAACAGTACCTGACAAAAACTGGCCGCACGATGTACAATAAAATGATGTGATTGGAGGATCTAACGAGGATCCTCTCTCGGTATTTATGATTTGATTGATATGAGGGTAGAGGGTGCTGTGTGTAGGATTTAGATCCTCTCCGGATCCCCTCATTCGAGATCCCGGAGATCAATGCATGGTAACCATTCATCAAATATCGTGCGTCCACAATTGAATGTTTTTTATATTTTTAAAAGTAAAGCAGCCTCGTTTTGCATGAAAAATATATAAAAAAAAAAGAAAAAATTGTTCTCGTATGATCTTTGATGAACGGTTACTATGCATTGATTCCTGAGATCCCCAATGAGAAGATTCGGAGATAATCTAAATCCTCGTGTGTATACTATTTGTCGACTTTTGACAATAATTTTTTTTATAAATCGATAAGTTTATAATTTTTTTTAAAATATTTATTGCGACTTAATACAAAAAAATTATTTGGGAGAATGCCTTTCATGGAATAGCTAGACCTCGACCATCACGTCCTGAATCAATAAAATGAGAATAATGATGTCAACGCACTCTTTTTAACTTTGTGTATAGTTCATGTTAATCTTGACGGTTGATTTTACCATAATTATGGTGCACTACGTCAAATATAAAGAGTTTTAACGAAACAAATTAGGTACTGCTAACGAAAAATCATATTTTTTCCTTTCTCTGATACTATTCATTATACCTTTGTTTGTTATTTTTCATTAAAACTAATTTTTTTTTTGAACTTTTCGTTAGTTTTCTTTCACATATATATGATTCCCCTTGTTTGGGCCCATTTACATTGGCCGTTGAGAGAGTCCATAAACAATATGGATTAAAGGCCATAGTACAACCCGACTTCTAAACCGACATCTCCATACAAACCAGAGCCACCGTCCCTCTCCGTCTCAGTCAGAGCCAAAACCCAAAACCTGACAAAAACCATGAAGTTCCAGGTCGAAGACGTGACGGTCTACTTCCCGTACGACCACATATACCCGGAGCAATACGCCTACATGCTCGAGCTCAAGCGCGCCCTCGACGCCAAGGGCCACTGCCTCCTCGAGATGCCCACCGGCACCGGCAAAACCATCGCCCTCCTCTCTCTCATCACCTCCTACACTCTGTCCAAGCCCCAAAACCCCGTCAAGCTAATCTACTGCACCCGCACGGTTCACGAGATGGAGAAGACGCTCGCCGAGCTCAAGCTCCTCCACAATTACCAGGTCAAGCATCTGGGTCCGCAGGCCCAGATCTTGGCGGTGGGGCTTTCATCGAGGAAGAATCTGTGTGTTAATCCGACGGTGTTGGCGGCGGAGAATCGGGATTCCGTGGATGCGGCGTGCCGGAAATTGACTGCCAGCTGGGTCAGGAACTTGGCGGCGGAAAACCCAAATGTGCCGACTTGTGAGTTTTTTGAGGAGTATGAGAGAGCTGGGTCTGGAGCTGTTTTGCCTCCTGGGGTTTATACATTGCAGGTATTGGTCAATTGGGTTTTTGAAAATTTAGTTTCTTTGAATTGGGTTTTGAAAATTTTGTTTATGTTTTCTCGGAATTGAGTGATTGCAATTGGGTTGGTTTGTTTTGTGTGAAAATTAAGGATTTGAGGGCGTATGGGAAGCAGAAAGGGTGGTGCCCCTACTTCTTGGCGAGGCGTATGGTTCAGTTTTCGAATGTGGTGGTTTATAGTTATCAGTACATGCTTGATCCTAAAGTGGCTGGGATTATTTCCAAGGAAATGCAAAAGGAGTCTGTTGTGGTGTTTGATGAGGCTCATAACATTGATAATGTGTGCATCGAAGCGCTTAGTGTTAGCGTGAGGAGGCAGACAATTGAGGGTGCCAGGAGGAATCTCAGTAAGATGCAGCATGACATTGAAAGGTAGGTGCTTCTTTTGTTTGGAAATGATTGGTTATGGTTTTGTTGAATTCAAACTCTCTCAGCTCCGTAATTTTGAGGGGGCTTTACGCATTGCATCACTTATCCGTCTCTTTTTATTTTATCAGGGTTTGTTCAAATTACTGGCTAAGATTATTCCTAGATAGGCTTGTTTCCAGCTTTCTTAGTTAGGGCTCTTACGTTTAATACAGATTTTCATTCATTTGCTTGACATGGTAGGTAGGTTCAAGGCCACTGATGCAGATAGATTGCGTAAAGAATACAACCGGCTAGTTGAGGGTTTGGCACAAGGAGGAAACCTACCTAGTATGTTGATTGCTCATTCCCATGATTTTCTTCCATTGAAACTTAATTTTTGCTTGATGATTTCTCGAGTTCTCATAACTTGTTATTTCTTCTGCATATGCAGTCACAGATACTTGGCTTCAAAATCCTGCTCTACCTGATGATATTCTGAAGGAGGCTGTGCCTGGAAATATTCGTAAAGCAGACCATTTTGTGCATGTGTTACGAAGATTGGTCAATCATCTGGAAGGCCGTCTCGAAACCGAGAATGTTGAGAAGGAAGGCCCTGTTAGTTTTGTTGCCACTGTCAGTACACAAGCTGGAATTGACCAGAAAACTCTGAAGTTTTGTTATGATCGCCTACACTCACTAATGATGACGTTGGAAATTACTGACACAGATGAATTCTTACACATTCAAACGATTTGCGACTTTGCGACACTTGTGGGAACATACACTCGTGGATTCTCTGTTATAATTGAACCATTTGATGAGAGAATGCCACACATTCCTGATCCTGTTTTACAGGTTAGTTTTCGTGTTTTTTTCTTTTCAAATTACATTTTTAATACAAATGAAGATTGATTGATTCTGAAAATTGAACAATCGGTTAAACATATTACACCACTTTCAACAATTTTTAAAATTTTATGTCCACTCTATTGAAACTAATGATGTGATGGTTATTATAAAATCTTCCTGCAATATGTTCCCTTGCATATTTACTGTAAGAGTGTCTGCCTTTGCTTGATCTACTTATATTGCTTTGGTAATGGATGGACTGAAGTTGTTTTCAGTTCTAATCTAGTCTTTTCATATTTGGTATTCCAGCTTTGCTGTCATGATGCTTCACTTGCCATAAAGCCTGTATTTGATCGATTTCAATCAGTTGTGATTACATCTGGAACCTTGAGCCCGATTGATCTCTACCCCCGTCTTCTTAATTTCCATCCTGTCGTCAGTCGAAGTTTTACTATGTCATTAACAAGAGATTGCATATGCCCAATGGTTCTCACCCGTGGAAGGTATAAACATCAGAAAAGTATTTTCTGTGCTTACATTTCATTTCTCTTGATTCATTGTAGTAGGGGAGTTGTAAACTTTATTGTTCTTATCATATCATAAGTTGCCTATTATATTTAGCATTTAATCCTATTAGGTAGTATCTAAAGGTTGCTCTCGTATATTATTTCAGTGATCAGCTTCCAGTAAGTACCAAATATGATATGAGAAGTGATCTTGGCGTAGTAAGGAACTATGGGAGGTTGCTGCTGGAGATGGTTTCTGTTGTTCCAGATGGGGTTGTATGTTTTTTTGTCAGTTACTCTTATATGGATATGATAGTCAATAGCTGGAATGAAAATGGAATTTTGAAGGTAACTGCACTATCTCTGTCTCTTGCTTTTCCTGGGTATCTGTGGACCCTTTCTTTGTCCTCTTCTCCAAGGTTTCGATGAAGTTAGTTTTCAGAAAGGTGCTTACTGCTCCCATTGTCACAGGAAATAATGCAGCATAAGCTTGTTTTCATTGAGACCCAAGATGTGGTAGAGACTACTTTGGCTCTTGACAATTATCGTAAGGCTTGTGATTGTGGGAGGGGTGCTGTCTTCTTGTCTGTTGCCAGGTATATAAACATTCAGAATTTTTTTATTATTAATGTGCAATTAAAATAAAAAGGATGGATTGCCCTTCACTCAAAAAGGAAAAAAAAAAGGATGGAGTACCGTTTTGCTATTTGTGTACGCTGTCATCTTTAGAAAGCTATCCATTGTTCCATGCCACACACATTTCAGACCTTTCAATATTACAATTGATGGGTGACACAGTTCTCTCATGAGTAATATTATGTATGTACTTTCACAGAGGAAAAGTAGCTGAAGGAATAGACTTTGATCGACATTATGGACGATTAGTGATCATGTTTGGCATTCCTTTCCAGTACACATTAAGCAAGTGAGTTTATCTCTTTTGTTTTATTTATTGAAAAAGGGTATTTTGAATCAAATTTTCTGCATGTTTTAAATTTTAGTGTTTGGGGGTTTTGTTGGACTGAAACAAATTTTACGTCTGTGGCTTGACATACTTTTTCTCGCAGGATTTTGCTTGCGCGGCTGGAATACTTGCGGGATACCTTTCAAATAAAGGAAGGAGACTTTTTGACGTTTGATGCCTTGGTATCATTGCAGTGCCTTTCATAACGTATAAGAAATATTTGCTTTTTTAAGACATGTTTTCTAAACGTTTTGGG